CCGGAAGGGTTGGGCCTCCGCAGCGGCCATGCCCAGAGGCGACAGCTGGGCTGCAGCTCCCCCAGGCGAGGCCGGCCAGACGCCTGGGGGCAGTGGGCCCGCCAGGGCTTGCGTGGGGAGGGCTGACCTCAAGGTAGACCCGTTAAGGGGGGGGCACGTGGGGGTGTGTGCCAAGAGCAGCAGACGTGCTCAGGTGGGCCGAGCTGGAGCGGGCAGAGAGGTTTCCTGAGCAACAGACGGCACTAGGTTGCCCCTAGAAATCCCTGGTTGCTTGGCAGTGCCGCAGCGATCTGGCTGGCTTGCAGGGCTTGCGTGGGGAGGGCTGACCTCAAGGTAGACCCGTTAAGGGGGGGGCACGTGGGGGTGTGTGCCAAGAGCAGCAGACGTGCTCAGGTGGGCCGAGCTGGAGCGGGCAGAGAGGTTTCCTGAGCAACAGACGGCACTAGGTTGCCCCTAGAAATCCCTGGTTGCTTGGCAGTGCCGCAGCGATCTGGCTGGCTTGCAAATGGCATGCTGTCTCCTAGACAGATGGGCCTTGCTGCTTGCAATCGGAGCGGCCCGGCTGCGTTGGTCGTTAAGGGACGCTGTTACTGCACTCATTAATTCTTTGCACCCAACAACTGCAAATCACGTTACAAAGACAGGAAAACTGAGGCACAGAGGGGGAAGGATTGACTGGGTGAAAGGGGCGGAGGATGGCACTGTGTGTGGACACCCGGCTGGCCTTTCTCTTAGTCACTACTGTCGTGGATGCAAATGATCTTAAATGTTTCCGGGTCAGTGTCCTAACAGATAAAGCCCATAAACGGATTCTGCTGCCGACAACCAACGGACACTCAGGAAAACGATGACCGGCTTGTTTCTCAGCTAACTCACAGGGAGGGGAGAATGGTGGGTGGTGGGGTACTGCAGCCGGAGTGATCTGTGTTTGGAGGTCTCAGGCTGTCAGGGATAAAATATTCTCCTCGGATCTTCTACATATTATAGATACAATTTCCTAACTCAAAAAATGTTGCCTCCATCATGGGGGAGTTCTCTCTGAGACCTCGTCTTGGCAGGTATAAAGGAATTGGTCACAAAAACGAGGAGTTGTTTATGTGCTAGCAGTCAGCACTTGATCACATCTGACATGTGCAAACAGAGTAAAGTAAAAAACCACATGTTATTGATGCTCTAAAAGAGCCAATTTAAAAGTGCCAGTGGACTTCTGGCCCATGACTGGGGCCCCCAGGAGCTATGGCAATACAAATAATCCGTGTAAACCCGCCCTGAAAATAAAGACAAGCCCAGTCAGCTAAGGGAAATAATTTAAATGTGACTGATAATTGGGGATGTTTAAAAATATTTTACTAGGTGCCCCAAAAGCCACAACTGAGAGAGAAGTTCTCATTGGTTAGAAAAACAACCTGCCATAGAGGGGAAGTACAAAAGGTCAAAAACAGCATATAAAAAGGGGAAATTGGTAGTGATGAATATAAATTAGGAGAAATTGTAGACAATTGATAAAGAAAAATAAGGGCATAAAGAGAAGTAAATAGCCAGCAGAGTTAAGGACGTGAATGAGATTTTTAAAATGTCAGATTAAAAGGAATTCTAACAATGGTGTAGGTCCATTACTAGATGGAAATGGTAGAAGTCGTCTGCGGGTCCCCCATGCCTCAGCTCAGCAGGGTGGGGGGCTGGCAGGGCAGTGGGGAAGCAGAGGCGCTGCGGGGAGCCGGGAGAATTGTTATTCCTGGGGGAATTCTGCCCTGCTGCACGCATGCAGAATTCCTGTCCTCTGCACATTTCTTTGCTTCCCCACAGCAAAATGACTTTCTGAGGGTGAAGCAAAGGAAGCCACAAGAGCAGCTGTGCGGCCCTCCCCAGCAGTAGGTTTTGGGTGCCTGGGACAGCTGGCAAAGAGATAAATTGCTGTGGGGCAGGGCTGGGGTAGACCCAGCTGGTGGCTCCTGACCTGCACTGGGCTTAGGTGCTAGTCTGGGGAGGGAGGTTTCTCATCCCCTGCACAGCATCTGGGACTAGGTCAAACCCGCCCCTGGACTTCTCCGCAGGCTACAGGAAACTGTGCATCTCTCCTCCCTCCCCTGCTCCCTGCATCCATCGCTCCTCAGCTGCAGAGGGAGGGATCAGTGAATGGAAAGCTGCCCGCCCCCAACCTCCCTGCCCCTTTATACTCAGGCCCTCCTGCTGAGCCTCATCCCCCCCCCAACTCCTCACCATCCTGGCCCTGCAGAGCCTGGAGGCCATCCTGGTGCAGACGGTCTACGACAACAAGATGGCGAGCGTGGGGCTCAGCGACATCGCCATGGACACCACCACCACGGAGCTCACCGGCCAGGGCGTGGCCCGGGGGGTGGAGGAGTGCAGGTGCTGTCGGGGCCCAGGGCCGTGCCCCCCCCCTCCGGTGCTCAGGGTCCCCCAGTACCGCCTGTGTGCCACGGGGCTCCCAGCATGCTCTGGGGCCCCTGCCTGTCGTGGATCCCGCAG